CCCCTGTCCCCGGTCTCCTCCACCACCACCCCCGGTCTCCTCCACCTCCCCTCTACCACCACCCTCGGCTCAGAGGGCAAGGCCCGAGCGGCTGACAGCCGCCGGGCCTTGCCAATCTCCCCCACCCCGGTCTCCTCCCCCACCCTGGCTCTGGCAGCAAGGCTCGAGTGGCTTGCAGCCGCCAGGCCTCGCCGGTGTCTCCCCCCTGACTCTGGAAGTGAGGCCCAAGCAGCTTGCAGCCTCCAGGCCTCACCAATCTCCCCTCCGGTTTCCTCCACCTCAACTCTGGCAGCGAGGACCGAGCAGCTTGCAGCTGCCGGGCCTTGCCGGTCCCCCCCGGTCTCCTCCCCCTGGCTCTGGAAGTGAGGCCTGAGTGGCTTGCAGCCGCCAGGCCTCACAGATCTCCCCCCTAGTCTCCTCCCCCACCCCTGGTGCTGAGGCCCGAGTAGCTTGCAGCCACTGGGCCTCGCCGATCTCCTTCTTCCCATTCCCCCTGGCCCCGGTGGTTTCCTCCGCTGATCTCCTCCTCCTTCCCCCCGCAGCAAGGCCTGAGTGGCTTCCAACCGCCAGCCCACCACAGAGTTCCCAGAGCATTCCCTGTGCATGCACAGGGAAGGCTCTTTTACTTTTGGGGGGATTTAAATATCCCCCCTATATATTTTTCAACTTTTTATATTTTTGTGCACACCTGGGGACTGCCCCAAGTGTGCAGGAAAATCTCCCTGCCCTCCAGGTGCCCCCGATGTGCGGATTTAGATATCCGCATGCAGGGGGTGCCTTCGCTATTAGTATATAGATTATGTTTAACGGTATATGATAAAACATGCTGATCATACTCAATCACTAATTTATAGAACTTTTTTATTTGTATTTTATTGAGAGCATTTATAGACCATTATTCTAGTGGCAAGGGACCTCAAAGCAGATAGCAACAAGTTAAAATATACTACAAATCATTAAAGTCATAGTGAAAACCAGAATTAAAACCACAAAAACATAACAAAAGAGCAAAGATCATAGTGAACACAAGTGCATGCACACGTGCACACACAAATAAAAAATTACAATCAATCTTGTAATGTGAACAGTAAATACACAGTAGAAAAATATATTCCTTTTTTTAAGTACCCATAAGGTACACTTTTATTGTTTTTCATATTATACACCAACAAACATGCAACATAACAAACATCCACTTACACACATAAAACATACAAAGAGATCAGTATATTTTCTTATAACTCTATTACCATATTTAAAGAATTTATATGTTTGCTTAAGTTTCTGTATACTCTTATCTTTTTACCATAGTTTCTATTTAACTAAAAAAGATTAATACCAAAAATTTCATTACTTTAAGCTATGCATTTATATTGCACCAATCATAGTTTTTTCCACGTCTTTTGAAATGTTGGGTCTGTTGTCCCTCTCATCAACGATGACAGTTTGTCATTTTCAGCCGTCTCCAACAGTTTATTCAAATATTCCTGATCATATATTCCTGACCCACTCAGCTGGGCCCCAGGTTAAACACCCACTCAGCTTGGGCTATAGGCCTGCTCAATTTAGCCTATTTCATAAGGTTGCTGTGATTTTTTTCAATTATTTACTTTTGCTGTCAAATTACAACCAGTTTATGGTGACCCCATGGGATTTTCAAGGCAAGAGACATTCAGAGGTGCTTTGCCATTGCCTGCCTCTGCATAGGTACCCTGGTATTCCTTGGTAGTCTGCCATCCAAATACTGACCTGGGCCAACCTTGCTTAGCTTCTGAGATCTGATGAGATCAGGCTAGCCTGAGCTATCCAGGTTGGGGCAGCTGCCAAAATAGAATGGATAGGGAAATTTTGATCCTTCTCTGAGTTCTCTGGAAGAAAAGTGGGATTAAAATTTGATAGGTGAAAGGATAACACATAACCAAGAATCTTGTGGCATTATAACATTCATTGCAACATAATTTTTCCTGAGCCAGCACTCACTTCATCAAATGCAGCTCATTCTGATCCTCTGGAGATTTTACCACAGTAAATTTACTGAATTATACCCAAAGCCCATTTTCTGAAGATGGGATTCCCCACCACCATCCGCTTCCGTCTCCAAACATAGATCCTGGGCTGATCCCGGGATTGCTCAGAGTCCAAGGCCAGATGGAAAGTCCCATACCACAAGTAATACTCTTCTTTCAGTCCTTTGGATCCAATTCCTAAGTCCTTAAGGTACCACAAGACTCACGGTTGTTTTGGCTATAGCTGACTAACATTCTTACCTCTCTAGAGTTTGACTTGGAACAAATGATGTGCAAGCAAAAACATAAATGGTCTTACTGCAGTTCCCCTTATGCAATGTCTTGTGCATCACCTAACACTTTCCTCCCTATCTATATATCTAATAGCCAAGGGTCCCCTGTGCATGCAGATATCTAAATCCGCACATCTGGGGCACCTAGGGGAAAATGAGATTTTCCTGCACACTTGGGGCACTTCTGAGGTGTACAGAAAAAATCTGAAATGTAGACAAAACTATAGGGGAGATACTTAAATCCCCCCAAAGTAAAAGAGCATTCTCTGCACATGCGCAGAGAATGCACTAGCAACTGTGCCTCCCCGCTGTTGCTGGGGGGGCGGGAGAGAAGGCTCGGTAGCCCAGTGGCTGGGAGCGCCACAGGCTTTGCTGTCAGTGCCGGTGGGGTGGGGGAGAAGGCTTGGCGGGCCTGGTAGCTGGGTGCCACGCAGGCCTTGCTGTTGGTGCCAGGGGGCAGGGAGAAAGGGAGAAGGCTCATCTACGGCTGCCTCCTCCTCCTCTTCCACATGGAGCTCCTCCTCCCCCCTGTGTGTATTGCTGGTCCCCACTTCTTGTATATTGCCCCAAAATCAGTTGCACTAGACCTTGTGCGAGCAGAAATGTAGGAGAGGATACAATGAGTTTGATTTAGCACACATTGCTACTGTGGTTTTCTTGTATTTCCAGTTGTGAAAAAGTGCTAGCACAAGTGGAAATTTTTTGTGGGATTCAACCCATAGTCATTAGTGAAGATAAAAAATGAATATCAATATTGCCTCTATGATACATTTATGAGCAACTTACTTGGAAACAGCATTAAACCTATATCAAAAACATTAATTAATGAGATTCAATCCCAATAAGGCTACAGACTGCCTATTCTTAAAAGGATGCATTAAAACATCAATGCTAATTGGTCAAATTAAGGCTGCCAATTGGCTTCTTGCTGATAGAGTTTTAAACAGAGGACAGATTTCCTCCCCCCCCCCCCCCGGGTATTATAATGCAAGTGTATATAGCTGCAGATAACATGCAAACTAAGACTCTTCAATTTCCCATGATTTCTTCATGTAATTGTACATACTTTGCACATGCAAACCCACCACAAAACTACACATGGCCTTCAGCTTTCATAAGGAGCACCCCTGAGAGTGGCATTTATCATTACAGAGAATATAATCCAGAGTATGTTCATTGCCATGACTGCTGATCCAAAACATTGGATCCCCCAGCTATGCCAGTGGCCTCAAATTTTGCACAACCTTTGCCATCAGTTCCCTGTTACTAGACTGAAACAGAATGTTGGCACTCCTGGGGAAAAATATATTTTTTCTTTCTCAGTGACCTGTACTGTTGCTAAACTTTAAGAAGGTGGTAGTCTGTGGTATTCAAAGATACACATACCCCTCAAACCACTGCAAAAAAATAAAATCGCTTTAGTTTTAGCTTTAGTTGCTATTGAAAATTGATTTAGTTAGCTGGATTTGAATTTGTAGTCCAAAAAGAATGAATAGCTTTGGGCAATGGCTTTGGCATATTTTATTCTGTGCTTTATGCTGGTTTAATACTGTAATAAATAAATAAATGATGGTGATGAATTAATAGCTACACTTTTTTTCATTGTTCACCAAGGGGATTCACATGGTCTTTTTTTAAAGGACTATAGTTACTGCCACTAAGCACCACTGATGAAGGCGGCGGGGGGGGGGGGGAAAAA